TGGGAGATATCAGTAAACTTGTGTCCTGCCGTATAATACGGTGTAAAATCAAGCACAGGATACTGGAAGTTAATAGTAAACTGGTGTCCTCCTGAATAATAAGGTGTAACATTAAGCACAGGATACTGGGAGTTATCAGTAAACTTGTGTCCTCCTGTATAATACGGTGTAGAATCAAGCACAGGATACTTTGAGTTATCAGTAAACTTGTGTCCTCCTGTATAATACAGTGTAGGATCAAGCAGAGGATACTGGGAGTTATCAGTAAACTTGTGTCACCCTTTATAATACTGTGTAGGATCAAGCACAGGATACCGTGAGTTATCAGTAAACTTGTGTCATCCTGTATAATACGGTGTATGATCAAGCATAGGATACTGGGAGTTATCAGTAAACTTGTGTCCTCCTGTATAATACGGTGTAGAATCAAGCACAGGATACTGGGAGTTATCAGTAAACTTGTGTCCTCCTGTATAATACGGTGTAGGATCAAGCACAGGATACTGGGAGTTATCAGTAAACTTGTGTCCTCCTGTATAATACGGTGTAGGATCAAGCACAGGATACTGGGAGTTATCAGTAAACTTGTGTCCTCCTGTATAATACGGTGTAGGATCAAGCACAGGATACTGGGAGTTATCAGCAAACTTGTGTCCTCCTGTATAATACGGTGTAGAATCAAGCACAGGATACCGGGAGTTATCAGTAAACTTGTGTCCTCCTGTATAATACGGTGTAGGATCAAGCACAGGATACTGGGAGTTATCAGTATACTTGTGTCATCCTGTATAATATGGTGTAGAATCAAGCACAAGATACCGGGAGTTATAAGTAAACTTGTTTCCTTCTGTATAATACGGTGTAGGATCAACCACAGGATACTGAGAATTATCAGCAAACTTGTGTCCAGTATAATACGGTGTAGGATCAAGCACAGGATACTGAGAGTTATCAGTAAACTTGTGTCATCCTGTATAATACGGTGTAGAATCAAGCACAGGATACTGGGAGTTATCAGTAAACTTGTGTCCTCCTGTATAATACGGTGTAGAATCAAGCACAGGATACTGGGAGTTATCAGTAAACTTGTGTCCAGTATAATACGGTGTAGAATCAAGACCAGGATTCTGTGAGTTATCAGTAAACTTGTGTCCTGTATAATACGGTTTAGGATCAAAGACAAGATACTGGGAGATATTAGTAAAGTTTGTGTCCTGCCGTATAATACGGTGTAAAATCAAGCACAGGATACTGGAAGTTATCAGTAAACTGGTGTCCTCCTGTATAATAAGGTGTAGCATTAAGCACAGGATACTGGGAGTTATCAGTAAACTTGTGTCCTCCTGTATAATACGGTGTACGATCAAGCACAGGATACTGGGAGTTATCAGTAAACTTGTGTCCTCCTGTATAATACGGTGTAGAATCAAGCACAGGATACAGGGAGGTATCAGTAAACTTGTGTCCTCCTGTATAATACGGTGTAGGATCAAGCACAGGATACTGGGAGTTATCAGTAAACTTGTGTCCTCCTGTATAATACTGAGTACGAACAAGCACAGGATACAGGGAGTTATCAGTAAACTTGTGTCCTCCTGTATAAGACTGTGTACGATCAAGCACAGGATACTGGGAGTTATCAGTAAACTTGTGTCCTCCTGTATAAGACAGTGTACGATCAAGCACAGGATACTGGGAGTTATCAGTAAACTTGTGTCCTGTAGGATACGGTGTAGGATCAAGCACAGGACACTGAGAGTTATCAGTAAACTTGTGTCATCCTGTATAATACGGTGTAGAATCAAGCACAGGATACTGGGAGTTATCAGTAAACTTGTGTCCTCCTGTATAATACGGTGTAGGATCAAGCACAGGATACTGGGAGTTATCAGTAAACTTGTGTCCTGTATAATACGGTGTAGGATCAAGCACAGGATACTGGGAGTTATCAGTAAACTTGTGTCCTCTTGTAGAATACGGTGTAGGATCAAGCTCAGGATACTTTGAGTTATCAGTAAACTTGTGTCTTTCTGTTAAATACGGTGTACGATCAAGCACAGGATACTGGGAGTTATCAGTAAACTTGAGTCCTCTTGTAGAATACGGTGTAGGATCAAGCACAGGATACTGGGAGTTATCAGTAAACTTGTGTCCTCCTGTATAATACGGTGTAGAATCAAGCACAGGATACTGGGAGTTATCAGTAAACTTGTGTTCTGTATAATACGGTGTAGGATCAAGCACAGGATACTGGGAGTTATCAGTAAACTTGTTTCCTGTATAATACGGTGTAGAATCAAGCACAGGATACTGGAAGTTATCAGTAAACCTGTGTCCTCCTTTATAATACGGTGTAGAATTAATCACTGGATACTGGGAGTTATCAGTAAATTCTTGTCATCCTGTATAATACGGTGTAGAATCAAGCACAGGATACTGGGAGATATCAGTAAACTTGTGTCCTCCTGTAGAATACGGTGTACGATCAAGCACAGGATACTGGGAGTTAACAGTAAACTTGAATCATCCTGTATAAGAAGGTGTAGAATCAAGCACAGGATACAGGGAGGTATCAGTAAACTTGTGTCCTCCTGTATAATATGGTGAAGAATCAAGCACAGGATACTGGGAGTTATCAGTAAACTTGTGTCCTCCTGTAGAATACGGTGTAGGATCAAGCACAGGATACTGGGAGTTATCAGTAAACTTGTGTCCTCCTGTATAATACAGTGTACGATCAAGCACAGGATACTGGGAGTGATCAGTAAACTTGTGTCCTCCAGTATAATACGGTGTAAAATCAAGCCCAGGATACTGGGAGTTATCAGTAAACTTGTGTCCTCCTGTATAATACGGTGTAGAATCAAGCACAGGATACTGGGAGTTATCAGTAAACTTGTGTCCTCCTGTATAATAAGGTGTAGCATTAAGCACAGGATACTGGGAGTTATCAGTAAACTTGTGTCCTCCTGTATAATACGGTGTAGAATCAAGCACAGGATACTGGGAGTTATCAGTAAACTTGTGTCCTCCTGTATAATACAATGTAGAATCAGGCACAGGATACTGGGAGTTATCAGTGAACTTGTGTCCTGTATAATACGGTGTAGGATCAAGCACAGGATACTGGGAGTTATCAGTAAACTTGTGTCCTCCTGTATAATACGGTGTAAAATCAAGCACAGGATACTTTGAGTTATCAGTAAACTTGTGTCATGTATAATACGGTGTAGAATCAACGACAGGATACTGTGAGTTATCAGTAAACTTGTGCCCTGTATAATACGGTGTAGGATCAAGGACAGGATACTGGGAGATATTAGTAAACTTTGTGTCCTGACGTATAATGCGGTGTAAAATCAAGCACAGGATACTGGAAGTTATCATTAAACTGGTGTCCTCCTGTATAATACGAGGTAGAATCATGCACAGGATACTGGGAGTTATCAGTAAACTTGTGTCCTCCTGTATAATACGGTGTAGCATCAAGCACAGGATACTGGGAGTTATCAGTAAACTTTGTGTCCTGCTGTATAATGCGGTTTAAAATCAAGCCTAGGATACTGGGAGTTATCAGTAAACTTGTGTCCTCCTGTATAATACTGTGTAGGATCAAGCACAGGATACTGGGAGTTATCAGTAAACTTGTGTCCTCCTGTATAACACAGTGTACGATCAAGCACAGGATACTGGGAGTTATCAGTAAACTTGTGTCCTCCTGTATAAGACAGTGTAGGATCAAGCACAGGATACTGGGAGTTATCAGTAAACTTGTGTCCTCCTGTATAACACAGTGTACGATCAAGCACAGGATACTTTGAGTTATCAGTAAACTTGTGTACTGTATAATATGGTGTAGGATCAAGCACAGGATACTGTGAGTTATCAGTAAACTTGTGTCATGTAGGATACGGTGTAGGATCAAGCTCAGGATACTTTGAGTTATCAGTAAACTTGTGTCCTCCTGTATAACACAGTGTACGATCAAGCACAGGATACTGGGAGTTATCAGTAAACTTGTGTCCTCCTGTATAAGACAGTGTACGATCAAGCACAGGATACTGGGAGTTATCAGTAAACTTGTGTCCTCCTGTATAAGACAGTGTACGATCAAGCACAGGATACTGGGAGTTATCAGTAAACTTGTGTCCTCCTGTATAAGACAGTGTACGATCAAGCACAGGATACTGGGAGTTATCAGTAAACTTGTGTCCTCCTGTATAAGACAGTGTACGATCAAGCACAGGATACTGGGAGTTATCAGTAAACTTGTGTCCTCCTGTATAACACAGTGTACGATCAAGCACAGGATACTGGGAGTTATCAGTAAACTTGTGTCCTCCTGTATAACACAGTGTACGATCAAGCACAGGATACTGGGAGTTATCAGTAAACTTGTGTCCTCCTGTATAACACAGTGTACGATCAAGCACAGGATACTGGGAGTTATCAGTAAACTTGTGTCCTCCTGTATAAGACAGTGTACGATCAAGCACAGGATACTGGGAGTTATCAGTAAACTTGTGTCCTCCTGTATAAGACAGTGTACGATCAAGCACAGGATACTGGGAGTTATCAGTAAACTTGTGTCCTCCTGTATAAGACAGTGTACGATCAAGCACAGGATACTGGGAGTTATCAGTAAACTTGTGTCCTCCTGTATAACACAGTGTACGATCAAGCACAGGATACTGGGAGTTATCAGTAAACTTGTGTCCTCCTGTATAAGACAGTGTACGATCAAGCACAGGATACTGGGAGTTATCAGTAAACTTGTGTCCTCCTGTATAAGACAGTGTACGATCAAGCACAGGATACTGGGAGTTATCAGTAAACTTGTGTCCTCCTGTATAAGACAGTGTACGATCAAGCACAGGATACTGGGAGTTATCAGTAAACTTGTGTCCTCCTGTATAAGACAGTGTACGATCAAGCAAGTCATATTGACGATTGATTTTTTCCAAAATAAATTCTTTATTTGCAGAATAGAAATTTTGATGCATCATTACTTGAAGGAAAACGTTTCCTGAATAATAATCTTATGATATATTAAACAATGAAATAATACCAGAATGCATGAAGTTTGTTTTGAGGAAAATCAAAACTTGAGGATCATCATGCTGAATATTTACAAATATTTTCTTCAGCTTGGTAATGTTAATAGAACAGAAGTTCAAAAAGCCTGTATCGCTCATCCCGTTTAGTTTGCTGAAATTGTTTAAACTAAAATTAATTTAATTAATTTTTAAAAATACTTTAAATGCTTCCCCTACTTCCCCTATTAGCACTGCCCCTTCCATGAAAGGGTGTTAGATGCACTGTTTGTACAAAATAAATTCTCTTCAGGAATTTTGAGTCTGATAAAACCTATAAAATTCAATAACTCCCACACAAGGGGGATTTAAAAGAATTGATTCACAATTTACACAAAATTGATTTCCCCTCCCCTAAGCATGCTCAAGACCAAAGTGAAACAGCATCCAAGTATTTCTACAAATGAGAAAAAAATCCAAAGTTTTCTCTTTTCTACTTTTTGGCCCTGCATCAAGGGGCCTAAACCTATCATTTATATGGAATATAAAATGGATTTCCCTTCATTCATGAACGCTTCAGACCAATTTTGGGCCAAATCCAATCATTTCTACAAGTGGAGCAGGATATTAAGGAACTTTACCATTTTGGGCCCTGCCCCTCAAGCCCCTTTGGGCCTTGAACCAATTTTTTTACAAACTTGGTTCCCTATACCCCAAGGATGTGTCAGACCAAATTTGATCAAAATCTGTTCAGTCATTCATGGCTAAAAAGCAGCAATTTTATCAAAATGTTGACAAATGACACAACCAACACTGGACGAAAGAAGGATGATGGACGATGGCAACTGGTCCTTCAGACCAGGTGAGCTAAAGAACTGCCTTTGTTGTTCATCTATAAAAAAAACCTTCAATTAAATCTGTTCAAATCAAATAAAGTTCATTTGTCTGTAACAGCACCATGTCTATAAAAGTCATCTGTATATAACAACACCATGTCTATAAAGGTCATCTGTATATAACAACAAGAAAAGTAGCGGACTTGCGGTCACCGTTATGCTGAAAAGTACAATTTTTCTATAATTATTACAATAAAAGTAACTTCCTCCCCAGGAAGAAATGTGAGACTCATTTTGTATATTAAAGTACCATAAGATGCTTCCATTCATACACAGCATTTGATTCTACCATATCTGGGTATTGAGAAGAAGATTTTTGAAATTGAAGTCAATTTGACCCCTTTTAGCCCCACCCATCAGGCCCCTTGGAGGGTGGGGACTGTATAATTTAAAATTTTGGTTCATCTTAGGGCATGGAAATGTTTCCGCAAAATTTCATTGAAACCTGTGTATACAGATCACCCGAATGGGACAACAGTCTGTTTATAAAGGCCAGTTGTATTAAAAAACAGCCTGTCTATAAAGGTCACCTATATGTTACAACATCCTGTCTGTAAAGGTCACCTATATGTTACAACATCCTGTCTGTAAAGGTCACCTATATGTTACAACATCCTGTCTGTAGAGGTCACCTATATGTTACAACATCCTGTCTGTAGAGGTCACCTATATGTTACAACATCCTGTCTGTAAAGGTCACCTATATGTTACAACATCCTGTCTGTAAAGGTCACCTATATGTTACAACATCCTGTCTGTAGAGGTCACCTATATGTTACAACATCCTGTCTGTAAAGGTCACCTATATGTTACAACATCCTGTCTATAAAGGTCACTTGTATTTAACAACAGTTTGTCTATAAAAATCACATGTATATAACAACCTGTATATAAAGTCCACTAGTTTCTTGTCCCAATATTATTTGAAACATAAGTGTTATAAAGTTATTGACTTTAAGGCCACTTAATTAACATATCTAGCTTTTTTTTATATCAAATGCCCTTTTAACAAAAACAGATTTGAAGAAATTCTGTGTGTGCTTGACTTGAACTGAAACAGAAATGAAAACAAATGTAAACACAAGTGGAGTTACTTACTAATTCTAGTCAAATATCAGCTACATGTAAATGAGTTGAGGAAGCAGAAAATATACAGTTTTTACAAAATAGGTCACAGAAGCCTCTACAAATTCAGGCAAGATAGCATGCTTTAATGTACAGCAATGCATCAAACAGTAGGTTAACACTATCAGTGGACAGGGGGAAATATTTTCATAAAAAGAAAAGGAAATGATTTTGTGTGAGAGGCATATCATGATAAATTTGCATTCTTTACACAACAGTGCATGTTCACAAAATATTTGTAATTAATTTGGAATTGATCACCAAAAGCAAATAAAATGTTTTCACGGTTTTATATACATAAATATTTAGGCTTAAATCACCACCAACCATACAACATTACTAAATCACAAGCCATTCAGAGATGATGTGTTTTTAATGCAGATCTAGAATTTTTAGTGCAAGCTTTTCTGAGACAACTGATCGGCTTAAACAGAACAAAAGCAAACTTCAATAGATTATCACCGAAGATAAAGCAGCATCATTAACATTAGAATGTTTCATTGCTATGAGTTGTCCCCACTTCGCTGCCTTTGGATAGATACACGAATCTCAGACTTGCGTCCGTATGTGTTATTGCATGGTGAACTTCGTGTAGAGTTCATTGAGGAATAGCTAGAATCATTTTCTACAATGCTTTGAATCGCATTTGGTGTTTGCCAGTTGACCTTGGATGCTACTTTGCTCAAATCTTGCGTCAACTGTAATCTGCAAGCAACAAAGATGAAGATCAATAACCCAATCAACTGTAGGCCACCCAGGAAGAAAAAATAGTAGTCCAAATGGCACTGTTTGGTCACATGTCCAGTATCTGTGTCACATGATCGACAGTTTATGTCGCCATAATCATTGCCAAAGAACCAATGGTCCTGAAAGCTGTACATAGCACCAATCCCTAGGAAACTACCGACACCGGTGAATAAGTGAAACAGTCCCATAATGATCCCCTTCATTGATCGTGGTGCCATCTGGTAGGCAAAGTCTATACCTATAACAGGAGATTACACTCTTACTGCATCATAGCAACAAAACAAATGACATGAAAGTAGAATCTGCATGCATGTTTAATCAATATGATTTGTTTTAAAAAACAGGTGTGGACCTGTCCAATGCAAATATTTCAATACAGGAAATCCAAGAAGAATCTTGGCACCCACCATTGTTTGATCTTTGTCTGTTCTATGACAGTTGGACCTTCTCTCTTCTGTTTTTTCTCTTAATGAAAAGGAATTTCAACATTAATTCTTTGCAGAAGGGTTAGAGTAAGGGTTAGGGTTAGGGAGAGACCAAATAGGCCTAAAATAAATTGATCAACTACTCTTCAGCTTACATAGTGGACATTGCATGGTTCATAAAGACATCTTCTGCAAACTTGAAATCATATTCTTTATACATGCACTACACAATTGCTATTACTCCGGACATATTGCTTGTTGAAAAAGTATGCTACAGGCCCATTATCAAGACCCTTGGCCTTTCGGATATTGAGAAGAAGTCATTTAAACATTTAAACACATTGAACCCTAGGTAGCCCTTCATCCCAGATCTCTGGGCAAAGGTACTTCATTTTAACAAACTTAGTAGCCCTTTATCCCAGCATGCTAAAGGCCCAATATCAGTACCATGGACGTTTTGGTTGTGTCCAGAACATATTGTTTAAAAAATTTGACATATCTGACACCTTTAACCTTGAGAGTATGTCGAGGTCAGTAATATGAATAAACTTGGTAGCCCTTCATCCTAGCATGCTACAAGCCAAATATCAACTCCCCGGGGTTTTTTGGTTATTGAGAAGAAGTTGTTTAAAGGTTTTAACATATTTGAACAGTGACCTTGAAAGCAAGTAAAGGTAATTCATATTAACAAACTTTGTAGCCCTACATCCTAGCATGCCTAATTTTTCTTACATATTTGACCTCTGTTCAAGGTCTTTCATATTAACAAACATTTTAGCCCCTCATTCCAGCATGAAACAGGCCCAATATCAGCACCCCTGCCCTTTGATTATAGAGATTTTAGTGTACTCCTGTTATCTTGAAAGCGAGTCACGGTCATTCATATTAACAATTTAAGTAGCCTGACATCCTTGCATGCTATAGGCCTAATATTAGCACTCTGTGCCTTTTTTGCTGTTGAGAAAAAGTCATTTGAAGATTTTAACATATTTGACCCCTGTGACCTCGAAAGTATGTCAAGGTCATTAATATTAACAAACTTGGTAGCCCTTCTTGAGAGGTAGTTGTTTAAAGATTTTAACATATTGAACCCTTGTGACCTTGAAAGATGGTCAAGGTCATTCATATTCACAAATTTTGTAGCCCTTCATCCCGTCATGGGACAGACCTAATATGACTATCCTGAGCCTTCTGGTTATTGAGAAGAAGTCATTTGAATGGATAGTTTACACTTGGTGAATGACACATGACGATGGACAAAGATGACTGTATGTCCGCCATTTTGTTAATCTAATTTGACTTAAAATCAAACTGGCACAACTAGGGATCAAGGCAAATCTACATGTACAAGAAATAATAAAAAATTGTTTCAGACTGACGGACGGATGGACAATAGACAGACCAAAGACTGCAGACCACAGACATAGGGCATTTGCTATAGCCCACGATCATCAGATACACATTCACATCACTAATAAGACAGGTATTATTTTAAATATATGCAGGAATTGGTAGTCAATTAATCCACAAAGTGGTGTGTACTGAATAAAAGGTAAAATTTGAACATTAGAATTTTCATTCTTTAACAATATCTTGTTTAAATAAAAAACAATACTGGACAAAAGATGTCCCCAGTTTTGTTTTAACATCATCATCTTTGATTTCTGGTGCTGACAACAGATTATTCAGTATGACGGTCATAGTGATCTAGTTTACCTACCAGCTACACAAGCAAACACCTCACTGACACCAATGAGAGCATACTGAGGAACCTGCCAAAACACACTCATATCAGCTGCATCATAAGATGAATTACCTGGAAAAGGAGAAAAATCTCACATCATAAGATGATCTACCTGAAACAGAAATACACATCTCACATCATAAGATGATCTACCTGGTACAGAAATACACATCTCACATCATAAGATGATCTACCTGGTACAGAAATACACATCTCACATCATAAGATGATCTACCTGGTACAGAAATACACATCTCACATCATAAGATGATCTACCTGAAACAGAAATACACATCTCACATCATAAGATGATCTACCTGGTACAGAAATACACATCTCACATCATAAGATGATCTACCTGAAACAGAAATACACATCTCACATCATAAGATGATCTACCTGGTACAGAAATACACATCTCACATCATAAGATGATCTACCTGGTACAGAAATACACATCTCATGATCACCTGGTACAGATGATCTACCTGGTACAGAAATACACATCTCACATCATAAGATGATCTACCTGGTACAGAAATACACATCTCACATCATAAGATGATCTACCTGGTACAGAAATACACATCTCACATCATAAGATGATCTACCTGGTACAGAAATACACATCTCACATCATAAGATGATCTACCTGGTACAGAAATACACATCTCACATCATAAGATGATCTACCTGGTACAGAAATACACATCTCACATCATAAGATGATCTACCTGGTACAGAAATACACATCTCACATCATAAGATGATCTACCTGAAACAGAAATACACATCTCACATCATAAGATGATCTACCTGGTACAGAAATACACATCTCACATCATAAGATGATCTACCTGGTACAGAAATACACATCTCACATCATAAGATGATCTACATGATTCCTACATGTTTAGTTAGAGGGGATGACAATCCAATGTTTATACTAAAATTCTACAAAATTTCAAAATACAGATATATTTACTTACCAATTATCTGAGTAATTGTAAAGTTCCTACAGAACTGTTGCCCATCATGATCACACACGTAGATTTGTTTCAACCGTTGGTTTTCAACCACACCAGCTAAGACTACAGCAATGCAGGCAAAGAACATACCAACATAGATACGTGTTACCATGGTGATGGGACGCCCCCACTGGGCCAGTTTGGGGTACAAGACACGATCTACTAGGGGAATTAGTAGGATTACAAATATGACGTCAAACAGAGAAAACCAGGCCGCAACAAGCTGCAAAAGAAAATTAAAAATATGTTATCTGACCATATTGGTAACTGATAATACTTCAAATTGTCATCAACCTACAACAATGTATCTATTCATATGAAAGTACAATTCTCCAGACATTAAAAATGAGTGTTTCAGAAGTATCAAACAGTTATAAAGAGGATAAAAACAAAAACCTTCTGGAGAAGTCATAAATATCAACCTTATTGTGTGGCACAGGCTTATTGTCTGCCACAGACTTGTTTACATGTAACAGATTTATGGTCTAACGTGGGCTTATTGTCAGACACAGGATTATTGTCTGCCACAGGCTTGCTTACATGCAACAGATTTATGGTCTAACATGGGCTTATTGTCAGACACAGGCTTATTGTCTGCCACAGACTTGTTTACATGCAACAGATTTATGGTCTAACATGGGCTTATTGTCTGCCAAAATCTTGTTTACATGTGGCAGATTTATTGTCTTACATGGGCTTATTGTCTGACACAGACTTATTGTCTGTCACAGACTTGTTTACATGTGGCAGATTTATTGTCTAACATTGGCTTATTGTCTGTCAAAATCTTGTTTACATGTGACATATTTATTGTCTAACATTGGCTTATTGTCAGACACAGACTTATTGTCTGTCACAGACTTGTTTACATGTGACAGATTTATTGTCTAACATGGGCTTATTGTCAGACACAGACTTATTGTCTGTCACAGACTTGTTTACATGTGACAGATTTATTGTCTAACATGGGCTTATTGTCAGACACAGGATTATTGTCTGCCACAGGCTTGCTTACATGTGACAGATTTATTGTCTAACATGGGCTTATTGTCAGACACAGGATTATTGTCAGCCACATACTTGTTTACATGTAACAGATTTATTGTCTAACGTGGGCTTATTGTCAGACACAGGCTTATTGTCAGCCACATACTTGTTACATGTAACAGATTTATTGTCTAACATGGGCTTATTGTCAGACACAGGATTATTGTCTGCCACAGGCTTGTTTACATGTAACAGATTTATTGTCTAACATGGGCTAATTGTCTGCCAAAATCTTGTTTACATGTGACATATTTATTGTCTAACGTGGGCTTATTGTCAGACACAGGATTATTGTCTGCCACAGGCTTGCTTACATGTGACAGATTTATTGTCTAACGTGGGCTTATTGTCAGACACAGACTTATTGTCTGCCACAGGCTTGTTTACATGTAACAGATTTATTGTCTAACAAGGGCTAATTGTCTGTCAAAATCTTGTTTACATGTGACATATTTATTGTCTAACATGGGCTTATTGTCAGACAGAGACTTATTGTCTGCCACAGGCTTGCTTACATGTGACAGATTTATTGTCTAACGTGGGCTTATTGTCAGACACAGGATTATTGTCTGCCACAGGCTTGTTTACATGTGACAGATTTATTGTCTAACATGGGCTTATTGTCAGACACAGGATTATTGTCTGCCACAGGCTTGTTTACATGTGACAGATTTATTGTCTAACATGGGCTTATTGTCAGACACAGGATTATTGTCTGCCACAGGCTGATTGTCAGCCACATACTTGTTTACATGTAACAGATTTATTGTCTAACATGGGCTAATTGTCTGTCAAAATCTTGTTTACATGTGACATATTTATTGTCTAACATGGGCTTATTGTCAGACACAGGCTTATTGTCTGCCACAGGCTTGTTTACATGTGGCAGATTTATTGTCTAACATGGGCTAATTGTCTGTCAAAATCTTGTTTACATATATACCTACATCAGAATATATATGGGCTGTGATATATACCTACATCAGAATATATATGGGGTGGAGATATATACCTACATCAGAATATATATGGGCTGTGATATATACCTACATCAGAATATATATGGGGTAGAGATATATACCTACATCAGAATATATATGGGCTGTGATATATACCTACACCAGTATACATATGGGGTGTGATATATACCTACATCAGAATATATATGGGGTGTGATATATACCTACATCAGAATATATATGGGGTGTGATATATACCTACATCAGTATACATATGGGGTGTGATATATACCTACGTATACATATGGGGTGTGATATATACCTACATCAGAATATATATGGGGTGTGATATATACCTACATCAGAATATATATGGGCTGTGATATATACCTACATCAGAATATATATGGGGTGGAGATATATACCTACATCAGAATATATATGGGGTGTGATATATACATACATCAGAATATATATGGGGTGTGATATATAACTACATCAGAATATATATGGGGTGTGATATATACCTACATCAGAATATATATGGGGTGTGATATATACCTACATCAGAATATATATGGGGTGTGATATATACCTACATCAGAATATATATGGGGTGTGATATATACCTACATCAGAATATATATGGGGTGTGATATATACCTACATCAGAATATATATGGAGAGTGATATATACCTACATCAGAATATATGGGGTGTGATATATACCTACATCAGAATATATATATGGATATATATCTACATCAGAATATATATGGGCTGTGATATATACCTACATCAGAATATATATGGGGTGTGATATATACCTACATCAGAATATATATGGGGTGTGATATATACCTACATCAGAATATATATGGGGTGTGATATATACCTACATATATATATGGGGTGTGATATATACCTACATCAGAATATATATGGGGTGTGATATATACCTACATCAGAATATATATGGGGTGTGATATATACCTACATCAGAATATATATGGGGTGTGATATATACCTACATCAGAATATATATTGGGTGTGATATATACCTACATCAGAATATATATGGGGTGTGATATATACCTACATCAGAATATATATGGGGTGTGAAATATACCTACATCAGAATATATATGGGTGATATATACCTACATCAGAATATATATGGGGTGATATATACCTACATCAGAATATATATGGGGTGTGATATATACCTACATCAGAATATATATGGGGTGTGATATATACCTACATCAGAATATATATGGGGAGTGATATATACCTACATCAGAATATATATGGGGTGGAGATATATACCTACATCAGAATATATATGGGGTGGAGATATATACCTACATCAGAATATATATGGGCTGTGATATATACCTACATCAGAATATATATGGGGTGTGATATATACCTACATCAGAATATATATGGGGTGTGATATATACCTACATCAGAATATATATGGGGTGTGATATATACCTACATCAGAATATATATGGGGTGTGATATATACCTACATCAGAATATATATGGGGTGTGATATATACCTACATCAGAATATATATGGGGTGTGATATATACCTACATCAGAATATATATGGGGTGTGATATATACCTACATCAGAATATATATGGGGTGTGATATATATATACCTACATCAGAATATATATGGGGTGTGATATATCAGAATATATATGGGGTGTGATATATACCTACATCAGAATATATATGGGGTGTGATATATACCTACATCAGAATATATATGGGGTGTGATATATACCTACATCAGAATATATATGGGGTGTGATATATACCTACATCAGAATATATATCGGGTGTGATATATACCTACATCAGAATATATATGGGGTGTGATATATACCTACATCAGAATATATATGGGGTGTGATATATACCTACATCAGAATATATATGGGGTGTGATATATACCTACATCAGAATATATATGGGCTGTGATATATACCTACATCAGAATATATATGGGGTGGAGATATATACCTACATCAGAATATATATGGGCTGTGATATATACCTACATCAGTATACATATGGGGTGTGATATATACCTACATCAGAATATATATGGGGTGTGATATATACCTACATCAGAATATATATGGGCTGTGATATATACCTACATCAGAATATATATGGGGTGTGATATATACCTACATCAGAATATATATGGGCTGTGATATATACCTACATCAGAATATATATGGGGTGTGATATATACCTACATCAGAATATATATGGGGTGTGATATATACCTACATCAGAATATATATGGGGTGTGATATATACCTACATCAGAATATATATGGGGTGTGATATATACCTACATCAGAATATATATGGGCTGTGATATATACCTACATCAGTATATATATGGGTTAGAGATATATACCTACATCAGAATATATATGGGTTGTGATATATACCTACATCAGTATATATATGGGGTGTGATATATACCTACATCAGAATATATATGGGGTGTGATATATACCTACATCAGAATATATATGGGGTGTGATATATACCTACATCAGAATATATATGGGGTGTGATATATACCTACATCAGAATATATATGGGGTGTGATATATACCTACATCAGAATATATATATATATGGGGTGTGATATATATCTACATCAGAATATATATGAGGTGTGATATATACCTACATCAGAATATATGTGGAGTGTGATATATACCTACATCAGAATATATATTGGCTGTGATATATACCTACATCAGAATATATATGGGGTGGAGATATATACCTACATCAGAATATATATGGGGTGTGATATATACCTACATCAGAATATATATGGGGTGTGATATATACCTACATCAGAATATATATGGGGTGTGATATATACCTACATCAGAATATATATGGGGTGGAGATATATACCTACATCAGAATATATGTGGGCTGTGATATATACCTACATCAGAATATATATGGGGTGTGATATATACCTACATCAGAATATATATGGGGTGTGATATATACCTACATCAGAATATATATGGGGTGTGATATATACCTACATCAGAATATATATGGGGTGTGATATATACCTACATCAGAATATATATTGGCTGTGATATATACCTACATCAGAATATATATGGGGTGTGATGTATTCCTACATCAGAA